CCCCAAAACCCCAAAACCCCAAAACCCCAAAACCCCAAGAGACGGAGTAACAACTTATAAATGGACTGATGCTAAATTCCAAATTTAGTTAAATTAATTTCTCAGTGCAGTATTAATCATTTAATCTCAACTCAAATGAACTTGTAGAACTTAGTAATTGGTTTTCTTTCAATTTTTGGAATATCTTTGCTCTGACCTGCATTTCTATCTGCTGGAAGTTTCTTGAGAAGGTTAGCATGCTGAGCCTCATTGATTCTCTTTTCTGTATCTGAAGCTTCCTTTAGAATTGCTTCTTTGTTGTCAGTGTACCAAGGTGCTCTTGGATAAGCAACATTGAGTCCTTTTTCTCTTAATTTTTCAAGTTTAACTACTTTCTTTTGGGGAGGCATTGGAGTCTTCAATGTCTTGTAGTCATTGAATTTGTGTGGCTTTAAGTGATATCTCATAATGAGAGGAGTTCTATATTATACTGATATTTCACCACCTGTAGCTTTAATTGCTTCAATAGCTGATTTCGTAGCATTACTAACTTCAATGTTTATGGGAACTCCCAGCTTCTGTAAACTTTCAGCACCTCTTGACAATAGCTTAACTCCATCTTTGACGCTAGAAAGACATCTAGAATCAACTAGATCTTTCATAGTAATTGTTTTCGATGCATCTACAAAACCTTTTGAGATATAGTAAGCAAGTTAACCTAAATTTAAAATCTCGATTTCATCTTTGTTATTAAAAGCATCAGCCTTCATTCCACGTTTAGGGAATCTCTTGGAAAGAGATGATTAACCACCTTCGAAACCTCTGTTTACTTGACCACCAGCTCTAAAATGCATACCTTTGTGACCTCTTCCACTCGTTTTTCTGCAATAATTTTAGCTTTGAAAATATAGCTTACCCAAGGCCTGATCCAGGACCCCTACCAACTCTCTTGAATTTTTACCTTGCACCTAAATTCATATGATATTGCTTGTAAATAAATAGTACCAATATTATCCCATAGATTACTAGCATTGAAAGGTAATAATTCCTTGGCTTCAGCTTAATATTCAGTAAGTCCATTCGGGGCTCTTGATACGAAGTTGCATCTTTGAATTGCTCCCATAAGCATCATATTATGATGATTTTAAGTCATCATCAACATTCTTCCCAGCACTTAGTTTGAGGTTAAAAGGTTAGCTGGTCTCACAAACATTGATGATCTTGATGATAGCATACTAACATTCAGACCAACTTTGCCAAGTTAAAAGAACTATTTCAACATCTTTAATTATAATTAATAACATATTTTTAATCACATAATAACTTCATCATTGATATAAGATTTTAATTTCATGGGGTTTTGGGGTTTTGGGG